TCCTAGTTTACTTGTAAGTTTCAAGGAGGGGCTGCAGCTCGCGCCTCTCGTTGGGATGTTGTATGAACTCACTCTAATTTGCTTATGAATCAATAAACTTATTATTATTCATCAAAAAAAAACATTGTCCCTGGAAAGAAGGTGTTGTCGTGCAATATCATACTCAGGATTAAGGCCAGCAAGGAATTCAAACACCCTATACTTCTCTAGATGTTTCTGATAGGTAGCTACATCCTTAGTGGTTTCCCAAGCAAATGTCTCTAAATGGTCAATCTCTTGCCACATGGTTTTAAGGACTGGAAAATAGGCTGCAACAAATCTATCTCCCTGCCTTGTAGCAATAATCTGATTTGTCAATTGATAAGCCCTAGCAACATTCTCCTCTGTGAATAGGTTTCTGCAACCCCATCCCATATTTCCTTAGTTGTATTTGTCCATAAAAAATTTTTACTTATATGTGGCAACATGGAATTACACAACCAAAGTCATCACCATATAATTCTCCTGTACCCACCGGGAGTTGCTAGTTTCGGGTTTCACCTCTTCACCAGTGATATACCCTAATTTCCCACGAGCACCAATGGCCATTTTTGCAGATTGTGACCATTCTAAGTAATTTGCACCATCGAACCTAACTGTAGTAATGGTCCCACCCCCGAAAGGGTCTCCAGCACCTCCTCCCACTGGTCCCATTTCACTCCTGGGCTTATTTTCAACTCTGTGGCCCTCCATGCTTCTCAAAAAAGGTAAAGAAAGAAACTGAAATTTGCAGCAAGATCAAACAAAACACCTTTTGGAACCAACAACACCTTTCTAATGTCCTAGACTTTCTTCCCACAAAAGATTCCTTTTCTGTGGGACGGGAGAAGAGAGAGAAGAGGCAGCCACCCTCTCTAGAAGCCTCCAAATCAGGCAAGACTTGAATCGCCCCTTACAAAAAACTTCAAGGAACCCTAAAAAATTTGGGCACCACTTCCTAGGTCAAAATTGAAGAGTCCAACAGAAACATGACTCTTTCCCTTTCTCAAGTTTTTCCTGATTTTGATGAGAAACCCTAGACCAGCTACAGGGCACACAGATCCACCAAAAAAATCCAAAAACTGAGCTTCGATCAGCCTCTTAAATCACCATGCAGTCGGTCGATCTAGGGCTGCATGAGAGAACAACTTCAAGGAACCTTCGGCCTGCTCTGGTACCAAGTAGAGATCACTAATTGTAGATTTAGTCGAGTTTCTTGTGAAGGAAAGAGGGGGAAGATGAAGATTTCAGCAGTAGAGAAGAAAGGAGAAGAGAGTAGGAAGTCAACCAGGATTGTGAAAAAAATCAACCCTAGCCGCCCCCCTCTCATTATATTTATACTTAACTTAAAAAGATGAGATATTACAAGGATGCCCTTAGTAGGGCGACTACTAAAAGCTGAACAGTCACAACTTAAAAAACATAAACTAATGGGCCTAAAGCCCAACAACTTCCTAACTAAATAAAAACAAACCAGACCAACTCAACATCTAGGACCTGGGCGAGGTGCCTACCCTACAATGCGCCTCGTCTGTGTGCCTAAGTGCGCCTTTTAAATCACTGGCCAACACATTCCTAATGGTTTGGCTTTTTTTTAATCTTTTTCTTTATCAGCAACAAGGAGATTACCTTAGATAACATACAACAAAACTATGAGTAAACAGAAACCATTGTAAGCAGCAAAAGTGAAACTTAAGATCATACCAACCCATTGAATATGGGTTCCCTTGTACAGCATGTACAAAAGTATATAACCAAAGTGGAAAAGAGAAAAGCCATCAACATGCCCCCAGCAAGGTTGTTGGTAATCAAGTAGCAGGATCTTTTTTTTTTATCAGCAAATCAAGTAGCAGGATCTTGGAATTGAATAATAACTAATAAGATTCAAAAACTTATATACAAAAGCAACCAAAAACATAAATAAATGGGAAAGAGTTTAAGCCATTATAGGAGCAACAACACCTTCAATTACACCTCTTTATAATACAAAATTAATTAGTGAAAGTTTGGATGAGCAATGTAATGATGAATAGTGGAAAAGGGAAGGTGGAAATTTCAGTAGACACAACTCAACTAAACCATATCAAAACAAATATTATAACAGAGGAGACACAAGTGGTGATCACTAATACACAACCTCGCCTACACATAAGGGAAGGTAGATCATTGGCACAGCCAAGGAATACCTTGCTCCATTGGGTATATAAGTGAATCCATTTCAATTTCATCATCATCATCCATGCCTTAAACCAAATATACAGGGAGTTCTTTCAATTTCATATTAGCAGAAAATATCTTTGATCTGTAAATTATTAAAAAGGTCATTCTCCTAGCTATTATAAATTCTCTTTTCTAACACACTTGGGTTATTGTTTTCATTGACAACCCCATAAACATACCAACTAACAAATCAATAGATATCCAGTTCAACCCAACAACACCATCAAACACCAGTTTTTGCTAAGCAAAACTAGAATTCCATGGTTTGAAACATCAGAATCTGATTCTTATTTGATACTATTGCAATAAGTTGTAATGAAATATATGTCAGTATATACTTAAATATTCTTATATTTGTGCATTGTCTTTGATAATTTTCATTTTTAAATATATAGTTCATTTCCATTTATTTAGAAAATTTTCAAAAAGGAATCTCAAAAGAGATAAGTAAATACAAGGCAACAAACTCAAAAATACCAGAAGCCCAAGAAGAAGGCTGCCCTCCTGTCGAATAGCATATGTCCTGAGAAGGTTTGGATCCTGATTCAGGAAAAGTATAAGGATGTCTGTCCTGCACTCCCAGTAAAATGACGAGATTATTACTAGGACTACTCCCATGAATAGTTAAGGAAATATTTAGCATAATAAAGGACCTAAGTATATGCTAAAAGCATGGAACAAACAAACAAAACAGAATTTTAGCCATTACCCAGTTAATATAAGCCTTTTATCTTGACTCTGTAAAGCATCAGTGATAACGTCAAAGATGCCTTCATTCATGAGATCCCTAGAGGAGACAATGATTAAGAGAGAATTTACCAAAAAATGATTAAGAGAGAATTTACCAAAAAAATGTATTCAACGAGAATGCCATTAGAACAAATAGAACAATCAATAGATCTGACAGTATACCTAAATAGTCGCAGTTGCTGGACCAGCTGTAAGCTCTTACTTAAACTACAGAACTCATGCAAGAAGAATACCTGTATCATAGAAAGCTTATATTGAGTAGACCCTTAAAAGGCAAAACCAAAGAGGAGAAAAAAGCAGTTAGAAAAATACATGTTATACTATTATACCAGCAATGCTGGATCAAAGCCGTTCAAACATTTATTGTTACATTGTGCACAGAAATTTTTAATCAAGTGTGGCACATACAAATCAGCTAACAATATCACCAGAGATATGCTGACATGCAGAATTCTCCTACTTGATAATAACATGTCCTTTCATGTGAAATGGCAGTAGCAAGTACATTTACAACCTAAGATTGTAGCTGTCTACAATAACCTTCCCAATTCAAATTAATATTTGAAACAGTTTTAAAGCAAGGAAGGCATCAACTGTATTGGGGGAAAACCCCTTCGGAATTGAATCTTGTTAACAAAGAAAAGCTGATTAAAGGGTTAAGGAGAAGGGACTTGGCAATTCTTTCCTCAAGGGGTTCTTGGCACGCAATTCTTTTGCAAACCTTTCTTTCTTATCAACTCAGCAGAATTAACCAGTTACCAGTCAAAAAAATACAGTTCTGATTTCTAAAGCTGGGTTAGAGAAAGGAATCCGAATACAGCATAGGAGAAGGAAACAGGGATATATTGACAATTTTTCAAAATAGTTTGGAACAGAAATGTCTTAGTACAGGACAACCATGAAATATCCAATGGCACAGTGGTGTGGAGAACTCTTCTCAGAAGAAGCTTGAATGATTGGGAACTACCAATGATTTTGGAGCTCCTCAAGTTGCTAAACAGGGAGCATGTCAGTCCAGGTCAAGAGGACAGTAGAATCTGGAAGTGGTTTTCTACTGTTCCATCAAAAGAATCCTTCTTAATTTTGATTTCGGCACAAGATAGATGTCTAACCAAGGAAAACTTAATCAGAAGGGGTGTTGGGCTGTCAAGCAGTTGTACTTTTCTGTGATGAAGCTCCTGAAACTGCAAATCATTTGTTCATCCATTGCAAGATTGCAGATTCTCTGTTGGTATAGGTGAAAGGAATTTTTTAGATGAAGGGGTGCAATTCAGCTTCGGCAATTGATTTTTTCTCAAGCTAAAAGCTGCAAGGTCTGAGCAAATAAGGCTCCATAACATGGAAGACTGCTTTTCTTGCTATGATGTGGACAATCTGGACTGGTAGGAACCTAGAGATTTTTAAGAATAAAAGTAAATCTGAAGACAGGAATGCATTTTTAAGGGTAGAATTTTCTATTGGGTCAGCACACATAGGTTATTCAAAAGTAAACCTTACAATACTTTTTTTATAGAGATACTCTTTTTGTAAATAAGGTTAAGATGTAAATTCCCAGTGCATGGTCCCTTGGTGTACATGGTTCTTGTATCTTTTTTATCTTATTAATATACATTACCTTTTATAAAAAAACAAAAAATAAAATCTAAGGATTATTTTGATAGTGAAATTAGCAGTTTTTTCATCAGTACTCAGTAAGTGATAAAATTTTATTAATGAAAAAAGTATACAATATCAATCTATGAATGGGAACAATGAATATGGCACTGAACAGATCGAAAAGGGGAAACAGGATTCCTCTAGCCAACCCCATATAGGTGGGACAAGACTTATATAACACCATATTACAATTAAGCTAGCCTATTGCTGCTCCCCTCAGCTTCTACATAGCCCCATGGAATAAATAGATTCATCTATTCCACTAGATCTTAGCTCCCCCCCCCTCAACCACCACCAACACCATATTCTCATGCTAAGGAATCAGCGAGTGAGCTAATCATGGAAGCCAGGGAAAGTTTGCCTCTACAATATGAGCAAAGAATTTAGTGTCTCTAGTCCAGTGTGGAATAAACCATAGGCCAACCTGACCTCCTTTTTAGCCAGCAAACAATTATATGCTAGTCTCCTTCAATTATCAAATTCCACAAGATTAAAGTTCTCATCGCTCTTAGCCCTTTAAGTACAACTTGCATTCATTTCCTTAATACATTTCTAATCCCTTTTTGACCAGAAAAGGACAAAATAATTTCTCCACTAAAATTTCTGAATGTGCCTCCAATACTTGGTTGACCTGGATTTCCAAGGCCCTGGATTGCCTACTCCGAAAGGCCCTGGATTGCCTATGCTGCTACCATCGAAATTCAGTTTGGTAAACCCATGAAGTGGAGGTGTCTAGCAAGAGTTTAAATTCTTTCTACTTGAGCCTGATTCTGCAATCTCCTTCCAGCTCCTTATCATCTCATCAACTGAGAACACTTTAAACAATTCCAATGTTCTCAACCAATGTATCATCCTAATGTGGATAATCTCCAGGATTTCTTCTCGACTTCTCTCCTTATTTGAGAATATCCTTAAGTTTCTCTCCTCCCAAACAGTCCAGCATACCGCAGCCCTACCACATCTCCACATGATCTTGGCCCTTTTGGTTGGCCAGTTAGGCATGGAAGTAAATAAGCTTTGCACATTCAAAGGGGGAGTCCACCTACACCCAAACAAAGAAGTAAACCATTCCCAAATCTTTTTCTTTGGGGTAGATCCCATGTATTAACTCTTTCCAGAAAGGCTTCCCAACAGAAACTCCCAACCTTTGGAGGTATAGGTCGACACCACACATCTTTAACAGGGAAAGACGATCCAACAGGAGGAGAGGGTAACAATGCTTTAAAGAAAGAGGCACAAGTGTAGGAACCCGAGGGAGTGAGTGTCCATATTCTGCTATCTGGCTTTAATGGCTCAATGAAGACCCCTTCAAGAATGGAAAGTAAGGCTAAAGTACATGCTAACTCTGTGCCCCTAACATCTCTTCTCAAACTCAGTTTCCATCCAAACCCAGAAGGTGAATTAGAAGGAACAAGAAAGGAGGAGACTGGTTCATTTTTAAGAGTAGAAATAGCAAAAAGGCTTGGAAATTGATCTTTCAATGAGGAATCCCCAACCCAAACATGTTCCCAAAACTTAATGAGGTTACCTGAGTGCAAGTCATACCTGATCCATGGAGAGAACAAGGGCAAGATGGCTTGAATAGCTTTCCAAGGAGAAGCTCTTGTAGTCCTAGCTAGAATCTCAGTATTCCATCCATTGTCTGCCAGCCCATGTATACTTCCCACTATCTTAACCCATAGTCTTTCTTTCTCCAATGAGAATCTCCACAACCATTTCCCTAGTAATGCTAGGTTCCTATTCCTAATGTTCCCAATCCCCAAACCTCCCTCCTTTTTACCCCTACATACCATCTCCTCCCACCTAACCCTATGATCCTTCTTCTCCTCCCCCGGCTCCCAAAGAAAATCGCTCATTAGTTTTTCCAGCCTACTAGCCACCTTAGCCAAAATTTTAAAAACTGACAAAAAATAAACAGGGAGGTTAGCCAGAGTAGACCTTGTTAAGGTGACTCTCCCTCCAAGAGACAAATAATTTTTCTTCCAGTTGAAAAGTCTCTTTTCAAACCTCTCCACAACAGGGGCCCAAAAATCACCTTTCTGATGTGGTCAAGAAGAGAGTTGGACCAACTGAGGGTTTGATGTGGGCTGGGTTGTCTGAACCGGTAGGAGGATTAGACGAGTCAACCAAGATTTCGATCCTGGGGCCATGTGATTGTTTAAGTGAGCACGTGGCTCGGGACAAAACGATGAAGATTATAGACACCAGAATGTGTCTATCTTCTTCTTCCTCAAAGAGGATCTTCAATGGTGTATCAGCTGCGACTAGGCAGAAAGAGAGAATCCGTCCCCAAAAGTTATCTAGAGAGGCCTTTAGGAGAATCAGTCTACCCCCTTTTGATAGGTAGCATTTTTTCCAAGAAGCTAATTTCTTTTCACACTTCTCCACCAATGGTCCCCAAAAGTTTAGTGTTCTTGGGTTGCCTCTGAGGGGCATTCCTAGATAGGAAATGGGGAGGTTTTCCACTTTACAATCCAGAACAGATTTGAAGTTCTCTAGAGGCTCTCTTCAACTGAATTTATGGGTACAATACTAGTTTTGCTAAAATTGACCATCAACCTGGCAACTGATTCGAAAACTTCAATCACCCTCTTCACATTAGAGATGTTTTCCAAGGAGGCATCCAAGAATAAGATGATGTCATCAGCAAATTGCAAGTGAGAAACCTGAGACAAATCTCTCCCCACTTCAAAACCCTTAACCAAACTTAGTAATTTGGTTTTGTCAAATAGAAAATTGAAGATATCCATCACCAAGCTAAAGAGGAGAGGAGAGAGCGGACAACCTTGTCTAAGCCCTCAATTGGCCTTGAAATAGCCCTTAGGCTCTCCATTTAGGAGCACTGGAAACCAAGATGAGCCAATGCATCCTTTGATCCAATTGATCAATCTCCTGCCAAAGCCTCTCAATTTCAAACAATCCAAGATACACTCCCAGTCAACTTTGTCGTAGGCCTTTTCAAGGTCTAGCTTTTGTGCTCTACACACTCATTTGCAATTAAAATACTATCCACAACTTGTCTTCCTTTGACAAAGGCAAATTGATTTGGAGAAATCAGATCTTCTAGCACTTCTTTCAGTCTTCTTGCTAGAACTTTGGCCAGAATTTTATAAACACACCCTACCAAACTTATTGGCCTGAAGTCCTTAACTTCCAAAATTCCCCCTTTCTTTGGGAATAAGCACAGAAAGGTTGAGTTTAAGCCTTTGTTTACAATGGCTGAGGAGTGGAACTCTCTAAAAAACTATAGAAGATTTTCCTTCACAATATCCCAACATTTTTTGGAAGAAGAATAAAGGGAAACCATCTGGGCTAGGTGCCCTGTCTCCATCCATGCTGAAAACTGCCTCTTTGATTTCCACCTCTTCAAAGCTTCTTTCCAACCAAACTTTCTTATCTACCGACAAAGTTAATCCTTCCCATGTACTCAATCTAAAACTGCACAGGCTATCCTTAGAGTATAGGCTCTTAAAGTAGGAGAGGAAGACTTCTGTTATTTCTTCGGAATTTTCCACTTCTCTTTGGTTCACTCTTATTTTGGAAATGAAGTTTTTCCTTCGCCTCCCCGAGGCATAAGCATGGAAAAAGTTGCTGGTGCAAAATATCTAACAATTCAACTAACTTCTATTGCCACTCGATGCAAAATCAACCTACAGGCAAGTTTTTGAACATACAATGCAACAATAGAATGTCAAAATTGATAAAACAATTCTGAGTTAAAGCATTAGAGCATTATAATTGCAAATAAAAGAAGCACAGCTCCAAAAGTTACCAAATTCTTCTTTGACTCTGAAGATGTGGAGGGTGTTCTCATCTTTGCAAACAATTCCTGAATAAAGGTACTATCATCCTTAATCAAAGAAACTACCTACAACAACATAAAACATTAAATGTCAAAGCTATATCAAAAAAAAAAAAAGTAGATTAAAATTCCATATAATCAAAGTAGAGGAACCTACTACAGCATTATTTGCAAGAATGATGGAATTGAGATTTGCGATTGTAGCCTCGTCCAATGCTCTTGGCAATATAATATCCTAAGAATGATAAAAAATGAAATAGAATGGCTAAATTACGTCAAAGGGAGAAAAAGGAAAAAACAACAGTCAATAAGCCCAACACAAAGAATACTGACCTTTATATAACCAACTCTGTATGACTGATGGATCTTTGACAAGACTATGGGATCTTTAATAGGGATGGCCTGTAGAAGGGAAACAAGAGATTAAAGAATAAATGTTCAACACTAACATTGATGAACAGACTGTCAATTGCTTTAAGAATCCCCACCTCTCCCCCCGCTCCCACCCCAAAAATAAGGAACAATGTACCCATAGCCATAGATGCAAAGAACATTTTTTTATTGCATTACCTCCTTAAAAACAACATGTTCTTTCAGAAAAGAACGGTGTTGCACATGAGGAATGTCAGGATCATCTGCAGACAATGTTTTAAAGCAGATCAGGAAATTAGTCAATCATATAATACACAAGAAATAAAAGAAAATTCTAATGCAAAACCACACTGAAAATGGATGCACTCTCATTAATATTACAATGGAGAACTTGGAATTACATTTAGGCTCAGTTTGGAAGGAGTACAAATGCAAATATGTGAAGTGCCAAACCATATATTTTGTATTATTCTGTATGTATTTGTACTGTACATATTTGCATTTGTACTCCTTCCAAACTGAGCCTTAAGAAAAAGAAAGAATCCACAAAAATAACACATTAGTAACTAAGCATAAAGCACAAAATTTGGCCATTTCATCATCAACAAAAAAAGAATGGTTTTATAACTTTACTTAGAGTACAATATCTATTAAGAAATGTCATGTATTAAGAAAAAATGAATGAACAACAATAGCAAAAAGGGCCTAACATGGATGGATTACGATTTTTTTTTGAAAAGTAAAATAGTTTTATTAATATCAAAAAAGTTGAAGCATTACAACTTACAAGCATCCCTCGGAGAGGTGTAAGATGCTACCTCTCCCAATCAAAGATAACAACACTTCATGGCTTACAACAGAGCCCAAAACAATCAAGCCCTACACACCCCTTGTTTAGCTAGACAATCAGCAATTGCATTAGCTGACCCTCCTCAACTATTGTATTCTTAAATTCATATTCCTTGTTAACCAATTGAATTTCTTGATTTCATTCCTATAAAACCAGATTAGTCTTTGATTCCTTCAGCCACCCCGCTACAAATTTAGAATCACCTCCAATCATCAAGTCTTCCACATTCACCTCACCTGCAATCCGGGTTCCCTGTAAAGCAGCAAACATTTCAGCCCTAACAGAACCCCCTACCCCCTTGATCCTGAGACCAAAGCACACATATGTCCATATCTTAGAACCCTCTACTCCAAATGGACCTGGGTTCCCTTGGCTGCTCCCGTTGAAGTTCAGCTTCCAATATCCTTCAGGAGGAGGCATCCTGTCCAATCTTCCTTTGGCTTAGTAGAGTAGCTTCTTGCCACCATCAACCAATACTTCCATATATCATCTAAAAGCATAATCCGCAAAAGATATCCAATGTTAAAACAATCAACACACAATCTTTGGTCTCCTGCCTGCTTCTCTCCTCCTGAAAAGTTCTGGCATTTCTTTCTTCCCACAGAATCCAAATCAAAGCTGCCCTCATACAACTCCATGTGCTCCTACCTCTTTTTTTTTTTGCAATCGATCAAAGAGCATATTAACCTTCGCAGGCAGATTGCACCTACACCCAAACAAACAGAAACACCAATCCCAAATGTCTGCAGCAAAAGGGCATAAATAGATGGATTAAGAAGTAAAAAATGTCTTGTACAGATTAAGACAATGAACCCTAAACAAGGACTTGTTTGGGATTGCCTCAAGTGGCTTCATCGGGTGTCCAGGAGCAGAGACCCAACCCAGTAACCGTGTGTCAAAAAATGCAAAACTTAACTGAGGACATGCCTGATTTGAGGCACAAGGCACCAAGCACACATTTTTCCAGAGGGGCTACACCTGGGCCTAGGCAAGGCACAAACCTTAAAATGTGACTCGCTTGCAGGGGAGGAAACAGGGGTGACAGAGGGGAGCCAATGCCCCCGCCCCCCATGCCTTAAAAATCCCCACAATTTTATTAACTTTTGCCCCCCTCCAAAAAAAAAAAAAAACAGAATGGTAGTATATCTGAATCTTCCTCCAGCTGTAAGCTATTAGTGTCATATCTCTGGCATTAGTGAAAATGCCAAATCATTTTCTGCATATAGTTTTACCAAACAAGCAAGGTGCCAGCCTGCTAGTTGTAGCAGAGACCTGGGATTGAATCCCACCTGCACCAGGGTTGGGAGGTATTGTGGGATTGGGGGATGGACTGCCCCATAATATATCAAACAAAATTCATCATCATGATCATCAAAGAAATTCCATAACAAGAATTTTTACTACACACATACCACACCTCACACTTGAACACAATAGTGTATTTGCATAGATGAAGCCATCAAAACTTATTTTTAATGAGTAAAGGAGAATAAGTAAGATTTCAGATAACAGTAAAAGAACCCACATTCAAGGGACCCAATAATATCCATGATGAGCTCATCCCCAAAAACTTTCTCAAAGATTTGAGGATTATTAAGCAAAACTGCAAAGAACCAATAAAGATATCAGTTAGCACCAATAAGGAAACACAAATTTGTAAAATCAAAGGGCAAAAAAAGTAAAATACTAACTTATTCCCTTGACTATTTTGAATATTGTGTGAAGAGCACCAATGTTTTCTACGTCTTCGCACATTCTGAACAAGTCCATCAGCTTGGGGAAAAATTCTTGCTGAACCAAGGACAATAAAAATTTTGTTCACAAGAATAATTAAAAACCTGTAGAGAAAAAGGCAGCAAGTGTGCAAGACAATGCAAGGAAAAATACGCAGACAGTTGTGATGCACTGATGCAATGACAGTTGCTATGTTTGCTCAGGAAAAGATAGAACAACACAAACAGAACAAATTGCAAGCTCAAGAATATAGAGAACAAAATCACAAATGGCACATATGATCTAAGAAATGTTCTAAATTAACAATTTAATGGTAATGATACCACAACAATTATTATGTTTGCTGGGGAGGAGGATAGAACAACAAAAATGAAATAGATCACATGGTCAACCATGTAGATTACAATATGATGAACAATATAATAGTTATGTATTACATCTCTCTTCAAAATATCATTTGACATGAAGCATGAATTAGAGACCTACCAAAAAGCATAAGTAATCCTCAAAAAGGATAAAGCATTATTTTTTTTGATAAATCAAAAAGGATTAAGCATTATACACACTCATGATAGCATTCTGAGTGATTTGTTAAATTTCCATATGTTCACCACAAATTTTGACACTTAGGTTGCAATCCAAATTTAGGGTTTTTTTCTGAACTAGTTTATTTTGCTCTATCCATTTATAAGCAATAAATAGTATATATCTTGCTTATGGAACCAAATACTCTCTCCCATTAGAGATCATCAAAATCCATCTAACCAAAAAAAAGATAGTGGTTATCAGGTTAATTTTCATAAGCTATCAATATTTTCTAAGGTCCAGAAAGCTTATAGGAAGCTCACATCATGTAAAATAAGGTCTGTCACGCGCATCTGATCAGCAATACCACTCTCCACCACAGTCTGCAATTACGATATATCTTCAGTGCAAATAATCATGTGAAAAGAAGATAACATCAAGAAATCTGAATAATAATAGAAAATGAAAATATAGATATCCGATAAAAGTAAACATGACGAATGCAAACTATAAATGGCACACCATCTACAAGAAATTACACTCTACAAAATGAGCCATTGATGGAGGTATCACATTATCAACCTTAGCAAGCATTGAGTATTACAGAAAACATGAAAGATCATATCCAGTTAGTCAACAATAGGCACTTGATTTGGTCTGAGCATTCTGTCAGGCCTCAAAGATGTAATAACCAAATTTAAGTTATTGCAGAAAGTTTAAACTTCCTTTAATGGTAAGGCAAAAGCTTTACATGAGAAGATGTACAAAGTGCTCACACAAACCAAAGAAAAAGATCTATCAAAAGTCTATCTTCAAATAAAACTTAGATGCCCTTGACATAAGTTTCCAATCTTGTTGGAAACAGTGATGTACACCTAATGCAATAACAAATCACACAGAGAAATTTAATAGTTGTGAGAGCACTTACCAGCAATTGTGTAAAGAATATTGATAAAAAATGAAAATATTCACCCTATAGCAATCAGCTATTGAACAAGGCAGAGATTATTACAATTCTATATTTCAAAATTGTGTATCAACAATACATGGGTGTTGTCCCATTTAATTGACTAAACATATTCAAGAGGAGGTCCCATGGTGCATGTTGTCAGCTGATGGCATCATTTGAATTGATGAAATGAATGAAGGATTAAATGCAAAATTAAGCTTATGGATAAATGACCAGCAAGAAGTTTTAAAGTAAATAAGACTAGAACAGAATATATGACATGTAAATTTAATAACTATGGAAGTGCAAATCAAGGTACAGTTAGGATTGGAAACCAAGAGATAACTCAATGTGACCCTTTTCAGTGCGTTGGTTCAATAGTTCATAACAAGGGAGGGATTGAGGAGGATATCACCCATAGAATTAGAGCAGAATGGACAAAATGGATGGCTGCATTTGTGATAGATAAATGCTACTTAGATTAAAAGAAAAATTATATAAAACAGTTGTAAGGCCAGTTATGTTGTATGGAGCAAAATGTTGGGCAGTCAAGAAACAACATATCCAGAAAATGAGTGTGGTGGAAATGCATATGCTGAGATAGATGAATGGAAAAACTAGAAAGGATAGGACCAGAAATGAAGTCATTCGTAGCAACTTGAAAGTAGCTCAATAGGTAACAAAATGACAACGTAGACTAAGATGGTTTGTTCGTGTGCATAGAAGACCATCAACAGCACCTGTAATAAGAAGTGATTTGTTACAGGTTGAAGGGGCTAGAAGAGCAATGGACAAAAAGGACAAGGGTAGAAGTAGGGGTGGCAAATTTTCAACCTAACCCGCTAACCCACCCAACCCAACCATTAATTGACGGATTGGGTTGTAATCCTGTGTCATTGGCAGGTCGGCTAACCCAATAAAAGAAGACGTAATGGTTTGGGTGGGTTTGGCCATGGTTACCTAGTGGGTAACTATTAACAAATTGGGATTTTTTTCAGTTCTAATTTTTACTCACTTCACTTTACGCTTAAATATCTTGTTTTTCATCATCCCCTTCCCTTCTTGCTCTCCTCTCCCTCTCTCTTCCAATATCCAACCCTACTCAGCAGTTGAAAATGATAGCTACAAGAGAGTTTTTAGCCTAGACTCTCTCTGTTAGAAACTGTAATCCAAATCCTAACCAGGAGGAACTCAGCAGCATTACCACCATGCAAATCAGAGCTGCTACGGTGTGAACTCAACAGAGGTGATCAAACGGTACCATTTTGCCCACTCCGTCACCAGATATGTCATCCCTCAATCTCACTAAACCTTCTTCCATCCAGCCAATTGGAAAAGCTTCAGAATTCATTATTTCTTCTTCAAGTCAAAGTTGAAAACGTTTTTTTATCAGCAATAAGATTACTTTTATTAAATTGGAATATAAGAATCATTCAGTTAACTGTCAAAGAAAATCAAATCCAAGTATAAGACCACATTCTAGTTAATGAGGAAGTGTCTCGACACATGCTTTCCTACCAACAAATCTTGGAAGCTCACCCAGTTCCAGTCGACGTATCTCCAAATGTATGCAGTCAACTTTCTCATCTTCTCAAGTCCATACTCCTTCAATCCTGTTTTCTCACAGTTTGCACTTTTCTTCACCATCTCTCTCAAGAAAGTATAAGAACATTGGTAAGTAGAAAGCTATCTCGTTAATCCAGTGATGCAGGAGCTGAAGAGCCAAAATTGGAATTTTATGATATTTTATGTATTTCTGTATTTTTGGACAGTAGGGATATTTTTGTCATTTTAGCAATTTTTATATGAGGTCCAAAGATAGGGTTTAAATTGTTTAGTTATCGTTTGTTTATGTTTAAAAATTTCAGTGTCATTACACAAGTAGGATTTGAGTTATTGAGTCTTCTTTGAATTGAAATAGGATATGACAACTTAGTTTGAATCCTACTAAGATTATTGAGTCTAACAGTTTGACTCCTAAGACTACTATGAGTCTAACAGTTTGACTCCTAGGATTATTATGAGTTTTAGAGTCTATAAATATATATGGACGCTTTACACAAAGGCAATGAATTATATTGAGTTTTCTTCAGCTTATGCTAGCTATGGTGAGTGATTCCCATGCACTAGAGTGATTCTAGGCACCCTGTGAGTGATTCCAGGTATTTCCTCTCTTCTTTATCTCCCTATTTTCTCTTATTCATTCAAGAAGCCATTACAGCCATTGACAGCCATAAAACTCTGATCAAGAAGACCATTCAACATTCTCTAAGGACTAGAACTGAGCTGGTCCTACATCATCCAGCCAAGTAGATAGAAGAGGAAAGCCATAAAACTGCTACAAGGGATAGAGGGGAATTGTGATTGGATCGGAAGAGACGCAAATGCCTTTAATGATACACTCGCTAAACAAGGGGCGGGAAGGAATAGTTTCTTTTGGTCTGTGTCATAACTACATTTTCTGTTGGAGAGGGCTAAGAGTGTTTATCCCTTCCCTTTTTTCTCCTTTTTCATTGTACTAAACTTCTTATTTAATGAAATTGATTCTGTTATTGATCACACACACACATCAGTAGATAAAGCTCAAAGTTCCTATAATATCTATTAATTTTTCTGCATTTTTGTGATTTTTTATAATTTCTATGATTTCATATAATTTTATATTTTCTGTAATTTCTATTATTTTTCCAAATTTTTCTTTTTCTTTGTTTTATGTAGTTTTGTTATTTTTATTTCTATAATTTTTTGTGACTTGCTATTATTGTGCAGTTTATGTTGTCATTTTTTGTTATTTATGCTATTATTCTACAATTTATGTTGTTTTTATAGTTACTTGTTTTTTTTTGTTTTGCAAGTGTTGTTACTTTCTTTATCTCTATGTTTTTTCTATAGTTTCTGTTTTCTTTTTTGCATTTTTTGTGTTTTTTCTGCAGTTTACATATGTCCTGATGAATTAAAAGATTAACAGGTTGGGTCAAGGCAGGTTTGGGTTGAACCCAACCCATTTAATTTTATCTTAATGGGTCATTAATGGGTTGATGGGTTGGGTTGAATCTAACCCAACCCAAATCCACTCAAACCCGCCCAATTTCCAGTTTGCCACCGCCGCGTAGTAGTAAGAAATGATTTAAACACCAACGATTTAAAAATGGTTGTGGCATTAAACAGAACAGACTGGCGAAACACGATGATGAAGACAACATGCCATTGAACATAATGGAATGGCATAACAGGATCTTGTAGCCGAAACCATATAGTTGGGATAAAGCTCGGATGATGATGACAATAAGTAACAATTTTATAGCAAATGGTAATTACAGTAATTACTATACTTTTAGTTTAAGGATTACTATAGATGGTAATTTTGTATTTTATTCATCAAAAAATAGTAATTCTGTTTTTACTAAGAACAGTAAATTTCTAGAAATTTTTTTTGGTTTTTTAATTGTTTTAGAAAATTTAACCCTGGACATCTCATAGCCAAAATATACCAATTAAGCTTCTAGAAATACTATCACTATGTTTCTTTAAAGAAAAAGAACAAAAAATAGACAATTTCCTACATCAACTAAGAATCTACCATGGCTCAAGCACACCTCAACCAAAATTGATGAAATATTAACCAAATTACACCCTTGGGAGAGCCAAGCTGTAGAGTCCAATGGTCAAATGTTTGACTTTAGTGATTCAATAATGAGTGGCCCTACATCTAGTTGTCCTTTTTTTATCAATACTACATCTAGTTGTCCTTACTCTTCAAGTTTTTCATAAATTATGACATCATGAGTAGGAATATTAGGGGAAGCTTCATTGTAAAATGATTACTGCACAGTTGGTACTCTAGAGGGCAATGGAGGAATAACAGACAGAGTTTGTTACCAAAGAAAGCTTGTAGTACTTCATTGGATTGTTATGGTCACACCATCCGGCAAGGCACCGCGGCGCCGTCATAGGCAGCAGCACACACAGCAGTGGGCACCGCCTGGCAGCACTGCACAGTAGCATGCACCGTCGATAGTGCGCAGCACGCACCGCCAGGCAGCAGCGCGCACCACACGCACCCGCATGGCAGCACGCACCATGCACACGCCCGGCACTGCACGGCAGCGGCACCACGGCGCGCAGCACGCACC